CGGAAAGAAGAGATTTTATTCGATGAATCTACTTCATCTTCGAACGAAATCGTAGCAACGGAAAGAGTTGATCGTGTTGTTGTTGTTGAGGAAGGACAAGTTTTAGAAATAGCTGAGACTAGTGATGATGATGAAACTACACAACTTGTTTCTGGAGATCAACCACAATGTCGAATTTGTCTTGATGTTGGAGGTATAGTAATAAGCTTTCATGATCTTAAAACGAGTAAGGTAGATGTGAGAAATGAGATGGACTTGTTTTGTGTTCTGTAATTATTACAGGGGAAGATCTGATTGGTCCTTGTAATTGTAGAGGTACTCAGAAGTATGTGCACAGATCTTGTCTCGATAATTGGCGCTCGACCAAGGTAATATCGTATTTCGTTTGTTCTTGATAGGTAGATTGAGGTTTATATGTTTGATATGTTTCATATGTTTCAGGAAGGTTTTGCATTTTCGCATTGTACAGAGTGTAGAGCTGTCTTTAAACTCCGAGCAAATGTGCCGGCTGATAGATGGTGGTTGAGATTGAGATTTCAGCTGCTGGTTGCTAGAGATCATGCATTCATCTTCATCACTGTCCAAATGGTACTTGACTTGTCTCGGTAGAATTTAGTGTTTTAATTACACTTTCTTTCACTATGTTACGAACTTATTGACTTGCATTTTTTGTCCATCCACACACTCTGATAAGATTGTATTAAGTAGAATCCACTCATGAAAGCTCATCAAATTCTTAGTAATTAGTTTATGACCAAATCAGTAGTCTCTTGTAGCATTCGAAAACCGAAACAGGATATTATTCTCTATATAAAATCTGATTGGGTGATACTTGTGATGCTTAGTGAATGAATTTATCTTGATGAACAACAGGTTGTAGCATTCTTGGGGTTACTAGTTTACAAGTTCTACGGTGAAGAACTAAGAGAGATGTTTGGTTATGAAGAACATCCTTATGGGTTCTACACATTGGCTGGTAACAACTACTTTCGCTTTCTATAGGTCTCCTTCTCCCCATAGACACTATCGCCCAGTCAGTAGGCTTAGATTTGATCAAAACTATCTTTGTGCTGAACATCGTGTAATGAACATAATTTTCATCTTGCAGTTTTGGCCATTGTCTTGGTAGGACTGCTTTACGGGTTCTTCATTGCTATTATATGTGGTCAAAGGATAAACGAGCGGCATTACCATGTTCTTGCCAAACAAGAACTCACAAAGGTTTACTTTCTTGCTGCTTTTCTGTTCTATATTTTTACAGTAATCGCTTTTCTGGTATACAACAGTGTTTCTGTGTTGATGACATCAGGAATATATAGTGGAAGATCGCGAATGCAAGAATGTTCCTGAGCTTGACCAGAGTCATGTGATGGAACTAAGAATGTTGGGACTTTATTGAACATATAGTATGAGGAAAGAGCTTGCTGGATCTTCACTCACTCATTTCCACCTGTAATTTATACTCTTCATTGATTTACACTGTTGTTTCAACGAACGAACCAAGTTATTTTTGAAGGTTTTTTTTTTTTTATATATATATCTTCTGATGAAAATGTTGATCTGTACGAGTATACACATCAGAAGCAAATTGGTTTTACAAAGTAATGTATCAATGATGATCTCTGTTTCTTCTTCTTCCTCGAACTCATACGTATATCCCTAAAATCACCTCCTTCGGGTCGGTATCAACCATCCAGGGTGGCCTTCACACGAGACCAAAGAAAATCCAATTATCGAACGAAAATAGAGGAGATAAAAGAATCTCCAGAAAACCGAAGAAAATGGCTCACTTGTTCAGTATGAAATTGATTGTTCCTTGTGATGCACGTCTAAGAAGAACCTCCCTTGCCTCTACCGCGATTCCTTGAGGCTGTATCAAAACATACATTACAACATTGTTCTTCAATTCAAACAAAACAAAACTTAAATCCTTTTGTGAATATTATACAGAGAGAGAGTTACCTCCTCTGGAAACCAAACCCCTGGTTGTGTGCTTCCTTCAAGCATTGCTAGAACAAAAGCCGCGGTTGAATCTCCAACGGCTCTGTGAACAGAAGATATTTTGGGTTCTTATCGATAGCTTTGTGTATGTGCTTTTCGTGTGTGTGCTGTTTGTGTACATATATATGCATGTACAATAAGGGTGTAAGGAGACTCACACTGATAGTTTTTTATGACTATATAACCCTACTGTACTCCGTCCATCCGAGCACTCCAAATCAACCTTCCCAAAGAGTTTAAGGTAAGGAACAATGAGTAACCGTAATAACTACTGCAAATTATTCTCTGTTTTGTCACTTACCCTCATCGAGACACGCTCTCCAGAAAAACCATCCATGCCTCTAACGACAGGGTCGAACAGATCTACCATTTGTTGGACTTTGGTTCTGTCTCTAAGGACCTCCTGCAACGAGCAAGACAAGCATTGCAATTCAATTACATGAAGAAATAATTATCATTCTTGATCGTGGGACCATTGATTCAGGTAAGGTTTGAGCATGATACCGATGGTAAGAGTTTTGTCATGATCTCCATTCCCCAGTTCCAGAAGAAAGGAGATGTGCCGAATCGAGCACTGACAGTTGGCACTCCAAGAACTTCATGAGTTGATCTTACTTCTGGCAGATTCCTGACAACAACTACTGTTCTAAGCAAATCTTTTTCTGGATGCCGTTGGAGATTATGATATGGAGCAGCGACTTACAAAAGATACACATCTCTTTTCCGGATGCCTTTTCCGAAATCAACATTTAACTTTCCGCTGTATGGTCTTAGTTTAACCTTCTCTCCTGATCGAGTCGCACAATACAAGGCTAAGAAAATTTGCTGAAAGATTCATAGTAGAATAAAAGGTATGTTTTAAGTTGTACGAGTTTAAAGACCTGTAACACTTGCCTTGTTTATACGCAGTAACTTCCTCGCCGAGAAGTAGAAAACTCGTCGCTAATATTGTAGGACCTGCACCACCAGTGCCTGCTGTGTAATAGGAGAACCTGATATGACATTGCAAGCCAAGAAAAAGTCTGATTCAACTACAATATAAAAAAAACGTAATGTAGCAATAATAAACATAGAAGAAATATCTTTGCGTTACCTTAATTTTTCTGGGTTCCCTTTTTCTTCAATTCTTGCTGCAGCGACCATTTCAGCCGCCATCACTATAAGAAAGTTAAAAAATGTTAAATTGTTGCATTGATGCATACCAAACAGAAAAGCAAAGAAGGATTAATGTTCAGATTATAACACCATTGCTAACTCCTGGATATATTCCAGCTGTCGTTATCGCCGGGATATTCGCAGCAACCGCCTCATTCTCGAGAGATTTTGCACGGAAAGCGTAGCTTGTATCGTCACAAACATCAACATAAGCAGTCTGTTTCAGATAGTATAAACCAACAAAAATCTCTCTGTAAGTTTCCTCTCCTAAGATTCCAACTCATTCCTACACACAGTGTAAAGATTTCGTGACATAGCAAATGTTTTTTTTTACCTTATCCTCACCTTGGTCTTTATGGCAGCTTCAAGAACAGTACATCGAGGAGCTTGCTGGAATGGTCCAGCAGCATGGACTACAAGATCAACGTCTGTATT